AATAAAAGGATAAAAGTATTTTTAGTAAAAAAAGAGAGAAGACGCTATTAGCAAATTACAAATTACTACAATGGAGCACATGTTTCTCTAATGAGTGTATCATATGAACTAGAATTCATTTTGAAAGCTTAAGCTTTTACACTCACAGGTGTTCATGAAGTTATATCGAAATTAATTCTGATAGAAAATTGGAACTAAGAAAAAAGTTTTTAGCTTTTGTTATGTAGCACGCCAGTGTTGTGGGTGCGAATTTTCATGTATGGAGGGTGCAAGAACACCCAAACTCATACCCACACCCTCTCCTTGCTTTGGCGCAATATTATCAGAGCTGGCAGTCTATATATCTCTGCCTGCTACTATGCAATCTTGTTTGCGAAGAAATAAATTGTACTACCACATCATTAGAAGCAGAATTGATGAGAAAAAAATCGTTTTCTAAGACAATACATAGAACACTTTTCATGAATCGGTCTATTATGTTTCAGTAAGATTGAACAAATCCTCATCATTCCCTTTTATGGGAGGTTTTCAGTTCACAGAAAGATGCGATGATTTTGATAGTACTACTCAGCCAACCGAACAACGATGCTGTACACTAGACTGTGTCCATAATGGTATTATGCGAGAAATTAATAAAGACAAACAGCAGACATTTGTTTTTCCTTTCATTAAGCACTTTTCCTTCAGTTACATCTGGTACCTTCTTGATCTCATAATCCGTCATTTCAAAATTAATAAGATTCAACAAGATCCTGAGATCAGAGACCAATTCTCTTGTCTCTTGACTGAAAAAAGTAAAAATCCATCGACGAAATCATTAGAGAGGCAATGTTCTTGATCCCATCATAGATATAAAATCCAAAATGGTTGAACTTTATCTATCTGACAAACCTAATTGCCTTGTTGTTAGATGTTGTTCTATTTCTTTCTTTACTTACTGTGGCCATTAGTAGTATATGTTCTAAGAGTTTTGCACTATTAGTATCGGTTAAATATGAATGTGACCATTTTTTTTCTTTCTCTTTTTCTCTTTAATCAATTAACGCATTCTTTCACGAAAAACAATTTTCACTTCGTAAGTAACTAAACGATCGTTCTCACTAGCATGATATGTGATGCTGAAAAGTTTTATTTGTGTTTCATGCACTGTGGTACTTCACCAATCGACAGTTGCTTTAGGAAGGGTAAAAACTGAAGTGCGTGCATCAATTCAAGTTCTGCAGTGAGTCTCTGTTTTGATCAAAGCAAGCGAGGCTAATTGAATATCTTTTTGTTCTTGTTGTTGTTTTTTTATTGAAAAGCAGACTGATCTGCACATATAGGACACAAATCAATAGACTATCTTAACTCTGACTTTCCATCAGTCGACTAAATTGAATTAAAATTAATGATACAATAATAAATAATTCTGCTTTGTTTAGAAGAATTAAAGAAATGCTGAATTCAGTTTGCTGAAGCGTTTCGCGCTATTCATGAAGATATAAAAACTCATCAGGGGTTTGTATTATACTTTAAAGAACATGAGAACAAAAACAAATAAAAACAGAAGAGAAAGAATAAAATCGCACGTAGCTGAGAATAAGATCAGATGAATAACCAAAACGTCCTTATAATCTTATTTATTTATTGATGGTAGATATCGAATTTAATTAGAAATAAAACTAGATTATCGACTCGATTAATCTGATGTTTAAATGTTGATTTTTAATCGAATTAGATAAATGGATAGGTGGAATCTCCTCCTTGCCTCTGTCACGAGGAATAGCTAACGTTTTCTTAGTGTGTAAAATGTATGTGTTGTTCGCTGTAGTCTCTTTTTCTAGCAACTGCGACACAGTCACGTCGTAGTAATGATTACACTGGGACCTCTAAGTACACAAAATTACGACGCAGTTAACCGCAACTGCGATTCCTTCATCATAACGATGTGTAACTGCGTTTTCATTTCGATAGTAATCGAAAACATTGTGTATGTGCCATTTTCAACAATATTTGATCAGCAAGTGATTGTCGTCGATTTTATTCATGTCATCTAGAGATAATGACCTATTTAAGGCTAACCTTGTTTAGATAATGCTATTGTAGGACGGATACAATCGAGTTGTACAATAGCCAACAATGTCTATTAAATGAAACAAATATTTCTTGGAATCTTACGTTACTTCGTCGGCTCGTTTAATAAATCAATATATCTAGTCATTAAATGACCTAGTTCAAGTAAGTTTGTTTAGATCAACTATTCAATTCATATAAGTCATTACCAAGGAATGTAGAGATAATAAGAATTTTCTTTGTGTTCTAAATCGGCGGAATCAGAAACAAATGTTAATCTGTCAATATTAAATAAATTGATTGAATTTTTAAGACCCACACTTTTTTTATAAAAATCTAAGGATACTAAGTTGGAGAGATGGATGTTTAGAGTGTAATACCCTAAGTTTATTCTTTAGCAATAGTGATGATTTGGATGTCAGTGTGTATAGTAAGAAGTATCGTTCCACGACAAATGGGTGCGGATGTGAGTATGGGTGACACGAATACTCACACCTACACACCCACACCCTATTTTACAGTAATCAACAAGAGTGGCACGTACATATTCCAAAATATAGCTCGCATGTGTTGATTTTGAAAAATATAAATATGATGGTGCGAAGAATAAACATACGTATTATCTATATTCATTCATATGATACTTGTCCGTGATGTAAGATGTATCATATGCATTGACAATAGCAATGTTCTTGATTAGAAACTGAAACAGAAATCGTAATAATGTAATTAACTATTTTTTTATCACATGTTCCCTAAAAAGATGAAGAGTATTTACACGTGCACTGAAGACAAGCAGCGATTTTCTTTTACATTTAGCATTAGGGTGGGAGTGAGCATGAGTGTGGATGTAGTTTTTGTTGTTATCAACACCAATCAACACTCGCCGTTGCTTTTCTCGGCTTCAATTCGAAAAGTTTATCTATCAGGACCAACCTACAAAGAACAACTACTATATTGAAGCTGGACAATCGAATTTTGTTGTTCTCTCATGTTCAGCTTGATTGACCCTATTGAATCAGTTTACATTCACTTAGAGGACTTATGCTTGAGTTTTGATTCGATGCGAAGAATGGTTTTATCGAGTTCCACAATAGTTACATGTGTAGCAGGCAATGCTTCATTATAAATAGTTCTCGCTTGTTTATAATTTGAGATCGCATTTTTTAAATCATGCTTCTTTTCATAAATGTAACCTAAGTCTTTATATGCCCTTGCGATAGATGGATGTTTTGGAGGAAGCGAAGTCCGAAAAATTCTAAGCGTTTCCTTCAAATGTTTCAATCCGTCATTGTAAAGCCCAAGGGAACAGTAGACAGTTGAAATATGGTCATGTGAATCAGCTAATTCAGGATGGTTATGTGGAAGCTGACTTTGGCGAATGAATAATGCTTTTGTATGATATTCAAGAGATTTAGAATAGTTTTTTTCTTGAACATAAATAATGCCTATATTTTGATACGTGACAGCAACTTTTTGATGGTTCTCGCCAAATATATTTTTCCAAATAGTAAATGCTTTTTTGTAACATTCATATGCATTTTTGTATTGACACATTTGTCGATAAACATTGCCTAAACCATTGTAACTTTCCGCAAGTTCTGGATCATTAGGTTTTAAAATTTGTATTTTAATATTAAGAGATTTGCGATGAAGCTCGAGACTTGAATGATAGTCACCTTTGTCGTTGGCCACAACTGCAAGATTATAATAGCATGTACTTAAATGAGCAGCTTCATTACCTAATGAACTAAGGTAACGATGAAAATATTGTTCAGCCGTACTAGAACATCCCATTCGACGAATAACTTGACCGACACAAATAAGGTCTGTTTCACCATATCCTCCACCGTATTCGTTTTTTAAATGCTCTAAAATTGTAGTAAAAGCTTTGCTGTCATTAGTACACAATTCTATCTTAACGATCGAAATCCCACTTGCTTCGTGATCAACACTCATAATTCGAAAGATTGAACCGAACATAATAAGAACTTCTTCTTCATTGAGAAAACAACTTCTACTAGTGATATCAGCAAACGGTTTCTCGCCAGCAAGTTCAGGATCAGCAGTGATTTCGAAGATCACACGTTCCATATTATGACACTGTACTTCTGGGTCACCTAAGAAGAATACAGCTAAATTGCGGCTTTTAGTAGTTGACATAAAAGAATTCATCGAAATCACCTGTCCTATGGAATTTTTCAATGTTTTCAATTCTGCTGTGGACATCAATTGACTGCGATATAATTGGACAGGCGATGAACATCGAAGTTCTTGAAGTTGCTCTCGTAGGTCACGTATGAAAAATCGAAAGAGAAACAATAGATGAATGTTTATTATACGAAAAGCTTTGTTGAGTAGTCAATACAGAAATGAATCTCTGGTGTACCACCACAATGCGAACTCAGCTTCATAGTCTTTTTCGAATTCGCCGATAATTTTCAATTGAGAATCATTACCCGAGTAGTGTTGTTTGCATAATGTAATAAATTCATTTTTATCGGTTTCGACCCATTTCATTCGATTAAAAACATCTAGCAACAGCTGTGAATGAATAAATTGACCATTAAGTTCACATGTTGATTTTTCATCAATATTGGTCATATTAAACACAGTTATCGATATTGATTCATCAATTTTTGAGCGGCACCGTTTGTCTTGGTCAGCTTTTATTTTTTCGATAAGCTCGTTCAATTTAACAAATACACCTCTCACCTAAAATATGTTACACTACTAGGTAGTATTATTGTTGATAGAATTCTATCATATATAGTGCACGCTATGAATGAAAATCATTGATTGATTTTTGAGGATGTAGGTGTGACTGTGGGTGTGGCATGGGGTACGAGATGGGAATGTGTGGATTTCTTCTCTTCGCTTATACCCACCCACACCCACACTCACACCATCAGCCAATAAACATAAATCGAAGAAAGTTGACGCAGTTCATGAACGGACGGAATTATCTCTTGACCTAATTTTCCGCTGACAATAAATACTACTCGGTCTCCTTCGGGTACTGACCGAATGTACTGTTCACATTCGCTCTTATCTTTATATGCCTTCAAATGATTAATCGATGAGCGAAGTGTCACTTGAGCTTCTATATTTTCTTGAGTATCGTTAACTGTTGCGTCAAGCCAAACTAAAGAAAATGATTCGAGATTAACATCTGCATGAGTAAACGTTGTAGCTTGCTGTGTTGTCGTTGTGATCTCCATCTACCTAAAACAAGATCAATTCTGATGATTATTCAATATCACTCTCTGATTGTTCTCAAAAAATCCTTGAAAGATAAGTCAAAATCTATGCAAACGCGTTTGATCCATTTTCAAATTATCTAGTTAGTACGCTGAAAAATACAGAAGATAAACGCTTTATTATGCCGGTTTCTTTGTCTATCTTGTAGCTCAGAAATTTGGGCAAGCCAATCTGAAAGCTACGGGAGATGTATCTTTCTAGAAAACTTGAAGGGCAAATACAGTCAAGTCTTCCTACGGGAGAAATGGCAAGTTTCTCTTTCTTTTTTAGAATTAAAACCTCAAAAACTTAAATCACCAAATCATGTTACTCGTCTATTAGTACTAAAATACCGACACGAAATATTTGTTCATTTAACGCAAAAAAGGATGTTAAAAAGTCTTTAGAAATTGAATAGCTTAGCAGAGCAGATGTTATATATTTAAACGTGAAAACATGTTTAAACCTGGTCTTTCTTTTTAGAAAACCATGCGCTTTTATTTCTTTATCAAACATAAGGATAGGTGTGGGCATGAGATGCATATGCTCGTGTTAGAGGAACACAAGATTGACACCCACATTCACCATCATATCCATACCACCCACACTTTTCTTTTTACTTTGTTTATGAAACAATTTGATTGCTTCGTAAATAGTATAGGTTTTTTTGAAACACTAAATGAATCATGTCGCTATAATATTTTCGGTATTTTATAAAAGAAATGATCTCTGAAGATCGTAAATGGTAGCGTTTAGACGTTCCCAGGTAAGATTTAGCCTCAACTGACTATCTCAGTTTCGCTACTACTCAATCAGATGAACGGTAGTTTGTCATGGGTATCGCTTTCATATCTCTCGAAATCCTTAGTTATTTATATTCCAGCCATATGTTTGTCATGTTCATGATGTGTAAAATATTCTTTTTTGGCTTTCAGAATCATCATAATAAGCTACTCACTACAGTCAAATAATCAAAATTCAACAAATATACTAGATGGTTTCAGTTGTACAGTACCGAATTTAGCTGAGTGTTGTGTATGTGGTACGATTTTTTGTAGTTAGCAAATGATTTGGTTGTTACTTTTGCATCATAGCAACGTTTTACGTTCCTTTTCTGTCTCTTTTTCCTTTTTATTTTCGTTTTTTTTTCATTCTTTCTAAATAAACAGTCTATCGAAGCAGGCTGCACGTAGCAATAGTAAAGCATTTGAGAACCTGACTGGATGCCGATCATTTGTAGAGAAAGAAAAAAGATGTATACTTTCTCAATAAAATTCGTTTCAAATGAATTGCACAGGCCGGCATTGATTTTTGTAGGATATGAGATGCTTGGCATGATGCAGAAAAAGAAAATGGCAAAAATCGATAAACTGCATTCAAAGACTTGATTAGTGGTAATTAGCAAAGTTCCACTTCTCTGAAATTGCTTTGCCTTTTTATTTCATTCTGAATTTGATGAAACTACGATTAATATGAAGATGAGACAACTTTTTTGTAAGATAATATAAAAGTTGATAATTTCCAATATAAATATGATTTTCCTAATAACACAAATATTTTAGAAAATTCGACATATTCATCTTATTTGTTTAGGACAGTGAAAGAAGAAAACTTAAAGCTTTTTTGGTTGGTGTTCATTTGAACTTGGACTTGAAAATAAAATTATTTAGGTTACGAAATAATTATCTTAGAAAACAAAGTCACTCGATTTGCTGTGTCATGGACGGTAGTATAGTCAGTATTTCAGTATTGTACAATCTGCATATATACAGACATGAGTAATAGAAAGTGCAACTCTTCTCAAATATTCTCGAAAAAAATCATGTCACTACACAATAGAAGAAAATAATGAGAGCATCTGAAAAGGATTAGACAACAGGATAGAAAAAAAGAAAAGAAATGCACAAGAAGACAATTCAAGCAACCTATTATCTGCAGGCTTTGTATTCTAGCAGTTTAATCTGAAACAAAACATTTGATTCTCTACCGAAAAAGAAAACACAGGTGGCACAATGTATGTACTGCCGTATGCAAAGGATTAAAAGTATCGATCAGAAGCAAGAACATGTGTATAAATTTGATGAAACATTATTTCGATTGAAGGGTATTTACCATAAAACGAAACTATATGATAACATGAACACTGTGCATTTTCACATAGAGTTTTGAAGTATTGTTTTAGTATTTTATACCGATACGTAATTATTTCTTTTTTTTTATTTAATCACTCCAAAAATTAGATCGATAAGAATGATTTCAGTTATAATAATATCAGATCGACGTTAACGTTCATTTTCTTCATCTATCGTGTCAAAAAAGTGGACTCGAATACGTTAAGATTGATACGATAGATTTTCTATCAAGATATTACATAATGAAAACAAAATAGTAATAATAATAGGCTATCGACAACAGCACATAATGAAGAAAAAAAAGAACTTTATAGGTTTTTTATTTATAATTTATCTTTTGCGTCAGAAAAACAAACAACTTTATTATATCAAGTTAAACCAAAAAAGCAGTTAGAAAAGAAAAAATTCATGACCGATTGTGATTTAGTCAGTCGAAAGTATTTAACAAACACAACAAAA